GGAGCAAGGAGGGAAGCCAAGGTGGTCGGGCGGTCCTCCCAGAGTTGCCTTGCCAGCCTCGCCTGCCCAGCCCTGGCCTCTCACCATGCCTATCCACCCTCCTGCCCAGACGCTGCCTTGGGATCTGAGGTGCCCTGAGTGCCCAAGCCACACTCCTGCTCAGCCCACCAGCCCTGTTCCAGCTGTCCTCCTTGATGGGCACCTTCAGTGACCTAGGTCCACCAGCAGCCCCTGGGGCCCTCGGAATGACACACGAGTCCCCTCAGGGCCTTTGTATATGGAGTTCCTTCTGCCTGGTCAACCCTTCTCTTCCTCCCACCTCAATGTAATTAATTCCTGTTCACCCTTCAGAATTCAGCTCAAAATACCACTTCCTCGAGGACATCTTCCCTGACCATCCAGATAAGTTCAGGCACCTTGATAAATGCTCTTACAGAATTAAATTCCTGTCTCCTTCAGTTTATAAACACACACCCTGTGTGAGCATTTGATTAACATGCACCTTGCCTCCAGCCTGTGGATTCACAGAGGCACAGACTGCACCTGCTTTGGCCCATCGCTCTGTCTCCAGCACCTAGCATACAGTAAGTGTTCAATAGGTACCCAATGAATGAAAAATTCACTCAGAGACCCCATGGGCAGCACCTAGTAGGACAGCCAGGCATGATGCTCTGAGGAAGGGTAATATTTGAGGGGTGGTTGCAGAGTGTGGCAGGGGCCTGTGGTACCCATGGCAACAGTTCTAGTGGAACCACGCCTCTGAGAGGAAGGAATGGGGTTTACAGGGTTGGTGCGACCTCCCAGATCAGAGTCCAAAGGCCAAGTTCAAATAGCAGAATCAGGGGGCGCCTGGGTGGCTCAGTCATTAAGCGTCTGCCTTCGGCTCAGGTCATGATCCCAGGGTCCTGGGATCGAGCCCCACATCGGGCTCCCTGCTCAGCAGGAAGTCTGCTTCTCCCTCTCCCACTCCCCCTGCTGGTGTTCCCTCTCTCGCTGTGTCTCTCTCCCTGTCAAAAATAAATGAATAAAATCTTTAAAAAAAAAAAAAAGCAGAATCAGCCCAAGCAGGGAGTGTGCAGGGCTGAATTGGGTGGTTTCAGAAGGCCAAAGACCACCAATGTGCGGACTGGGGAAAGACCCTCTCTGGAGCAGGGACAACAGCACTTTCACCATGATGCTAGCAATGCACTGGCCATTCAACAGGGCAGGATGGGGTTCACCTGCCAAAGTTCGGGAGCAGACAGCAGAAGACCTGGGCCAACCACAGGCCCACAGGTAACATGGCCACACTCTGGGGAGGAGAGGGCCCATGTCGAGGGAAGACACAACCCATCCAGGCTGTGACAGGCAGAGGTGGCCTCCTCTGGGTCCCTGCACTCTGACCTGGTGCCTCATTCTTGGAGAACCCAAGGAGTCACCCACAGAGGGAGACGTGGGGTCTTTTTCCCCCACTGAGGCTTCTCTGGAGCTCCTAGCCACGGCCTGCGCAGCAGGGGCTGGACCCCACCAAGGAGCCAACACTCCAGTGGGTAAACAGTGCCCTTGGCCGAGGGGGCAGCACACAGATGCCCACCTGAGGGCATTCACAGTAGTGTCACTGCTGACCCTGCCCTTCTGCCTGCTTCCTAAGCCCTAAACCTGCATAAGGCAGGTGCCGTGCAAGACACAGGGCTCTGGTCAGAGGCAGGGAAGGAGGGATGGGGCAGGTGCAGGTGCAGGCAAGTCGGGCAGCATGACTGCAGTCACCTGCGCGTCCCGGTGGCCAGGACAGCCAGGGCGGGGCCTCGCACAAGGGTGTGCACACCACCCACCAAATCCGGTTCTGTGCGCACAGCTCACGGAGGGACAGGTGCTCCTGGGCTCACCCCAGTCACCTCTCTGCTGCCACCAGTCTCAGCAGCCTCTCCTCCTATGCCGCATGGGGACCTTGTTCTGCAATGTCCCCTCTGTGCCCTCTCTCAGCTCAAGTCTCCACCAGCATCCAAGAAGCCCTTCTTCACCCTGACTCCTCCTCCAACTCCGTCTTCCCCCTCACTGGTTTGCAGCCAAATCTCTCCCTGAAGCTGTCCACACTGACTTCACCCTACACGTTTCCAGCTCACTCTTCAATCCGCTGCACTGAACGGCTCCTGCCAAGGGTGCCATGGCCTCTGTGGTGTGACATCCACATTTCTCAATACCCCACAGCCCAAGCATCTTCCTCTTTCCTTCCGCTTCTCTGAACCTCCCTTCTCAGCATCTCCCGAGGCCCTTCCTCAAGTGTTGCTGACGCTCAGATTCAGTCCTCAACATACTCCCACCACCCAACCTGAGCCCTTCACCCCATACCCACTCCTGGTCCCACACCCTCTCACAGGGCTGGACCTCTGGCCCCGTCAACAGAGCAGAGGCCAGGCCCCCCGCCACCCCCCCCAGGCCACTCCCTAGCAGGCAGCTGCTGAATGACTGTCTCCAGCCTCACCTCCCCCCACCAAGCCCAGTCCCCCTCTGGCCTCCAAACACCTGGAACTGGGAAGCCATGGCTGCCACCCCCTCCCTGCCTCAGCCTCCGTGGAGCAGCCAGAATGGTCTTCTTCCTAAACGCCATTCAGACCAGCACTGCCCAGAACACTTCACTGTCCTCAGGACAATGCCCCAGGCCCACACTGGCTGGACAGCGGGATGTCCTGTGGGGCCGTCAGAGAGCCCACAGTTCTGGGACTCAGCAAAGGAAGGGCACTCCCCACGTGTGGAGGGAGGGGCGAATCAAGGTGTCAGTCTCCAATCAGCCAAGGGTGCAGGATCAGCCAGCAGACCGGAGTGCAGAGGCCGGGCCTTGGGCACTGAGGAGGGACCACAGGCTGTACCTCTGTGGTACCTCCCCACTCTCAGAAGCCCTGTCCTGATTTCACTGTGGCCAGTGAGACCCCACACCCACCCAGGCTCACAGGGCAGGATGGGACAGGCAAGCACCTGGACCCCCCGCACAGGTCCGGAGCCCCCAGTGTCCTCCTCCAAAGGGGCAACCAGGCCTGGGCAGATCTTCTCCTGAAAGGGGCTTCTAGATCCACCAGGGCAGGGGCATGCAGCACATGGAACAGACCCCACCAGGAAAATACGTTCTGTGCGCACAGCTCACGGAGGGACAGGTGCTCCTGGGCTCACCCCAGTCACCTCTCTGCTGCCACCAGTCTCAGCAGCCTCTCCTCCTATGCCCCATGGGGACTGCATGCTTACTCCACCCACATGAAGGGTGCGTCACAGCACCTCGTCATGGTGGCAACAACACAGAGCAGGAGCCTGGCCAAGGGAACTGAGGTTTGGGAGACTGCGTTGTTCCCCGACCCCTTGACAGAAGGGCCCTGATGTGGCAACCATGACTCACAAGCCCTGACACAGGGACTGGGCATATCAGTTATCCCAGCATCTTTACCACACCATCATTACCTCATCACCAAGCACCAGCACCACCATCGCCCCGTCACTGTCACCACCATCGCCCTGCCATCATGGTCACTATTGCTACTGTCACCCCACCATCATTACTACTGTCACCCCATCACTGTCACCACCATTGTCCTATCACTATCACCATCACTCTGTCACCATCACCATCACCGCATCATGACCACCATCACCTTGCCATCATTGTCACCATTGCCCATCACCATCATGACCATCATCCTATCCCCATCACCACCATCACCCACCACCATCACCACTGTCATCCTATCCCTGTCACCACCATCACCCTATCCCTGTCACCACCATTGCCCCACCACTGTCACCATCACCCTGTCACCATCACCATCACCCCATCACCACTGCCACCATCACCCCATCACTGTCACCATCGCCCTGTCACTGTCACCATCATACCATCACTGTCACCACCATCACCTCCATCACTGTCACTTATTCCCCATCAGTCACCAGTGCCCACCCCATCCATCACTTAGGTCAACAGGGACTCCCTACCCTTGGCCTTTCAACTGTCAACCACAGTACCCCCATCCCCAGCACAATGATGAGGACTCAACTTTCCAAGATAAGGATCAGGGACCTGGTGGTCAGCTACTCTGGGGCCCCACTACAATGACTCTGTGGCATCCCAGTGCCCACAGCCCTCACTTTAGCCCACTAAGCCCCTTGTCACCTCCACCAGGAAGATGTACCCAGCCTGCAGGTTTTATTTACCCTGACATCGGGTCGCTGTCCAAGCTGGAACGAAACCTCAGCGCCGAGCCCAGCTGCTCCAGTGGCTCGGTACCAGCGGACACACTGAAAAGAGGAAACTCCATGATTAACACATCCAAGCCCCACCCAGCACACCAGGAACAAACACTACCTTAGCACACACACAAAATGCACAAGAGCCAATCCTGCGCAGGCCATGGAGAAGCCCTGATGGACTCCCGAGGATGACTATCACACACACCAGGATCTCAGGCTACAGTGCTGCACATTCCTCTCAAGCGTACCCGGAACATTCTCCAGTATAGACTACATGTAAGGCCACAAATGAGGCTCAATCGATTTGAAAAGATTGGTATCATACAAAGTTATCTTCTCTAACCACAGTGGGATGAAGTTAGAAATCAGCAGAGAAAGACTACCGAGCCACAAAGTGAAAAAAGAAATGCTAAACACAACTCATACCTTGAGAAACTGACATGGTACCAAAAAAGAAAAACAGCAACAAAATTGTGCATTAGTAAGAAATTATAAAGTAAATTAAGAAATATGTAATACAAAAATACAGATTCAAAGGGGCACGATGTTTATAGCAGCATTATCAACAATAGCCAAATTATGGAAAGAGCCCAAGTGCCCACTGACTGATGAATGGATAAAAACAATGTGGTATATTGGGGCACCTGGCAGGGGCGGGGTTAAGCATCTGCTTTCAGCTCAGGTTATGATCTCAGAGTCCTGGGATCAAGCCCCAGGTCAGGCTTCCTGCTCAGCAGGGACTCTGCTTCTCTCTCTCCCTCTGCCCCTCCCCCACACTTGTGTGCACACATACACTCTCTCAAACAAATAAAAACATAAAAAAATAAAATCTTAAAATAAAAAGATGTGGTATATCCATACAACGGAATATTACTCAGCCATCAAAAGAATGAAATCTTGCCATTTGCAGTGATGTGGATGGAGCTAGTGTATTATGCTAAGTGAAATAAGTCAGTCAGAGAAAGACAAATACCACATGGTTTCACTCATACGGGGAATTTAGGAAACAAAACACATGAATGTGTGGGGAGGGAAAAGAAAAAGAGGAGAGCAGGGAGGCAAACCATAAAAGACTCTTAACTATGGAGAACAAACTGAGGGTTAATGGAGGGAGGTGGGTGGGGGATGGGCTAACTGGGTGATGGGTATTAAAAGGAGTGCACTTGTTACGATGAGCACTGGGTGTTGTAGTAAGGGATGAATCACTAAATTCTACTCCTGAAACCAATATTACACTGTATGTTAACGAACTAGAATTTAAACAAAAATTTGGAAGAAAAAATAAATAAAATTGTGCCAAAAAAAAAAAGAAATTAAGAAATTAGTAAAACTGGATAACAAAAATACTACAGGTTAAAATTCATGAAACACAGCTAACACAGTTCTTAGATGGAAATTAATTATCTTTTTTAAAAGAGATTGATTTATTTATTTCAGAAAGAGAGAGAGTGTGCAGGCGGGAGGAGGAGCAAAGGGAGAGGGAGAGGGAAAGAATCTCAAGTAGACCCCCCCACAGAGCACAGAGCCTGACGTGGGGCTCGATCTCATGACCCTGAGACCATGAGCTGAATTGAAATCAAGAGTCAGATGCTCAACCAACTGAGCCACCCAGCTGCCCCAGAAATTTATTTATCTTTAGAAGTAAGATGTTAGGACATCTAGGTGGCTCAGTCAGTTAAGCGTCTACCTTTGGCTCAGGTTTTGATCCTAGGGTCCTGGGATCGACTCCCATGTTGCGCTCCTTGTTCAGCAGGGAGCCGGCTTCTCCCTCTCCCTCTGCCTCTGCCTCTCTCTCTGTCTCTCATGAATAAATAAATAAAATCCTTAAACATAAATAAATAATAAAAGTAAGATGTTAAACTCAAGAAGGTGGGGGAAAAGTAATAGAGCAAATCCCCCAAATAAGGAAGGAATTAATAAAGGGAAACACAAAAATAAGAGAACAGCCACAAAAAATACTACAAAAGATTTATTTTTTTTTTAAAGATTTTATTTATTTATTTATTTATTTATTTTTTAAGATTTTATTTATTTATCAATGAATCATGGAACACTGCATCAAAAACTAATGATGTAATGTATGGTGGTTAACATAACAATAAAAAATTATTTAAAAAAAAGATTTTATTTATTTATTCATGAGAGATGGAGAGAGAGAGGGAGAGAGAGAGAAGCAGAGGGAGAAGCAGGCTCCCAAGGAGCAGGGAACCCAATGCGGGACTCGATCCCAGGACCCCGGGATCATGACCTGAGCCGAAGGCAGACACATAACCATCTGAGCCACCCAGGCGCCCAATACAAAAAGATTTAAAAACCCAAAGTTGGTAGGTCCTCTGGCAAGACTCATCAAGGAGAAGACACAAAAAGAAAAAAATGCATAATAAAAAAGGGGAAATAACTACAGGTACAACAGAGATTTTAAAAGTAATAACTTCAGGGGTGCCTGGGTGGCTCAGTTGGTTGAGTGTCTGCCTTCAGCTCAGGTCATGATCTCAGGGTCCTGGGATCAAGCCCCACATTGGGCTCCGTGCTCAGTGGGGAGCCTGCTTCTCCCTCTCCCACTGCCCCTCCCTCTGCTTGTGCTCTCTCTCTCTCTGTCAAATAAATAAATAAAATCTTTAAAAAAAAAAAAAACTAAAACAATTAAAAATTTAAAAAAAGTAATAACTTCAGGGGTGCCTGGGTGGTACCGCTGGTTGAGTGTCTCACTCTTGGTTCCGGCTCAGTTTGTGATCTCAGGGTCGTGGGATCAAGCCCCATGTAGGCTCCGCACTCGCTGTTGCGTCCGCTTGAGATTCTCTCTCCCTCTCCCTCTGCCCCTCCCCACTGCCCTCTCTCTCTCACTCTAAAATAGATAAATAAACCTTTAAAAAATAAAAATAAAATAAAAGTAATAGCTCATTGGCTAGTATCAAAAAGACACAATATAACCCGTACTGGGCAGCATGTGGAGAAAGGGGAGCCCTCGTGCGCTGTTAGTAGGAATGCAAACTGGTGCAGCCACTGTGGGAAACAGTATGGAGGTTCCCCCAACAAGTTAAAAATAGGCATACCATATAATCCATATACAAGCAATTCCACTTCTGGATATTTATCTGAAGAAAACGAAAACACCTCTTTGAAAAGATATGTGCACCCCGATGTTCACTGCAGAGTTATTTATAATAGTCAGGATGTGGAAGCAATCTAGGTGTTGTTGGTAGATTAGTGGATAATGAAGACGTGAGGCGCACGCACGCACACACACACACACACACACACACACACAGGAATATTACTCAGCCACAAAAAGAATGAAATCCTGCCATCTGTGACAACATGGATAGACCTAAAGGGTATTATGCTAACTGAAATTAGACAGAGAAAGACAAATACCATATGATTTCTCTTCTATGTGGAATTTAACAAACAACAAACCAAAACAGAAAGAGCCTCACCGATACAGGAAACAAAGTCATGGTTACAGAGGAAGGCCAAGCTGGGGGTGGGGTGGGTGAAAGAAGTGAAGGGGCTTAAGAGGCACAAACTTGCAGTCATAAAATAAATAAGCCATAGGGATGTAACGTACAGCACAGGGAACATAGGCAATAATATTGTAGTAACTTTGTATGGTGACAGACAGTGACTACACTTACCATGGGGATCATTTTGTAACATATAAAAATACTGAATCACTATGATGTATACCTGAAACTAAGAATATTGTATGTCAACTATACTTTGATTTAAAAAAAATAACAATAATAACCTTCTTTGGATTCTGATTTGAACAAACCACCCATGAAAAGGCACTTTGGAACAAGTGGAGGCAACTAAAGACAGACTGGCATTAAAAATTATTAATGAATTACTGTTAATTGTGCCAAATGTGTTACTGAAATGGTGGTTATATTTCTTTACAAAGGACTCATTTGTACAGATGAAAACTAACATTTAAGGAGACATTTTTTAAAAGATTGATTTATTTATTTGAGAGAGAGAGAGAGATTAGAGGAAGGGGCAGAGGGAGGGAGAATCTCAAGTAGACCCCCCCACACACACACACACACTGAGCACAGAGCCCATCTAGGGCTTAATCCCAGGACCCTGACATCATCACCTGAGCCAAAATCCAGAGTTGGATGCTCAACTGATGACTGAGCCGTCCAGGAGCCCTTGGGAGAAATTTTTATGAAGTTTTAATTTTTGTTTGTTTTAAAATAATCAGAAAAAAAAGTAGTGGGAGGTGTATAAAATAATAGTGTCAGAGCGTTGGTAACTATGGAAGCAGGTGATGGATATGTAGAGTTATTATATTATTCTCTATGCTTTTGTATATATTGAAAATTTCCAAAATTAAATGTAAAACAAAATAAAATTAAAAAGCATTAGGAACAACTATATCCTGCATTTGAAGGGAAGGTGAAGCTGAGGAGAAAATAGTTTTTAAAAACCAGTGTGCAGGGGCATCTAGCTGGCTCAGTTGGAAAAGCATGCGACTCTTGATCTTGGGGTCATGGGTTCGAGCCCCACATTGGGTGTAGAGATTACTTAAATAAATGAAACTTAAAAAAAAATCCGTGTGTAGGCTTTGGTGAGCAATAGGATACCACACCGATGTGTGGAAGGCTGGAAAGAAAGCTCCATGGAAGTAAGCATGGCATCTGAGGCCCTGTTCCCTGAAAGTCTCAGGTGAGACTTAGACCCAGAGCCCACCAGGTGGGGAGGCCCTGATGATTCTCACTCACTTGGGATGAGACCTCAAAATCTGCACCCTAAGAAGGGAGGAAGTGAGTAGACAGCTTAGCCTCTAATCCTCTAAGTCTCTGCAGTTAGGCCAAGATGTTTTTGGTTTTTTGGTTTTTTTTTAAAGATTTTATGTATTTGTCAGAGAGAGAGCACAAGCAGGGGGAGCAGCAGGCAGAGGGAGAAGCAGGCTCCCCACTGAGCAAGGAGCCTGACGTGGGACTCAATCCCAGGACCCGGGGATCATGACGTGAGCCAAAGGCAGACGCTTAACGACTGAGCCACGCAGGCGTCCCAGACCAAGATGATCTTAAGAGTGCTGTGTCCCTGGCAAAAGCAACACAAATCCTCCCTGGAAGAAGTCCTGGGCTCCAAATTTCTACAATCAATTTTGTAAATGTAATGTTAGGCACACCATCAAAATTTTTCAGAAACACTAGGACACAAGACAACATGAATACAAACAACAGAGGCAAATGACCACAGAAATACCACGGGACTTCAAATATTGAAGCCACTGACATTAAACACCACCACATACACAGTTCAAGGAGATGAAAGAAAAAAATCGAGCTGTTGAGGAGAACATGAAATATAAAAGAAACAAAAATTCTAGAACTAAAAAGCGATACTACAAATTCATAATGCATTAGAGACAGCTGAAGATATAATTCATAAACTGGAGGATATAGGTCCAATACATGTAGACTGAAGCTCAGAGACACAAAAAGATAGTAAATATAAAGACAGAAGATGGTGGGTGAAATATGAAATACAAGAGGCTTACAAGAGGTCTTACATATGTGTAATTAGAGTCCTAAAAGATAAAGAGTGAGAAAATGGAGCAGAAGCAATCTTTAAAGAGATAACAGCTGCCAATTTTTCAAAACTGAAGAAAAACAATTCAAGAAGTACTGTGAAGCCCAAGCAGCACAGAGCCACCTAGGCACATCACAGCAAAACTGCGGAAAACCAAATACAAAGAAAAATCTTAAAAGTAGTCAGAGGGGGAGCCTTGGTGGCTCAGTCAGTTGAGTATTCAACTCTTGATTTCAGTTTAGGTCATGATCTCAGAGTCGTGGGATCAAGCCCCACATCAAGCTCCCCACTCGATGAGGAGTCTGCTTGAGATTCTCTCTCTCTCTCTCTCTGCCCCTCCCATGGCTTGCACGTGAGCATGCGTGCATGCACGCGCGCTCTCTTGCTCTCTCTCTCAAATAAATAAATAAATAAAATCTTTAAAAAATTAAAAGTTTTAAAAAAAGTACTCAGAAAAAAACATGTTGCTTGCAAAGGAGCAATAATTAAACTGTCAACTGGTTTCTCAACAGAAAGGACAGAAATCAGAAGACTGGAATGGAATGGGACACCTGGCTGGCTCAGTCAGAAAAGCATCTCAAGGTCATAAATTCGAGCCCCACGTTGGGTGTAAAGATTACTAAAAAAAATAAATAAATAAATAAGAAAAGACAATGGAATGAAAGCTTTAAAGTGTTGAAAGAAGTTGACAGCTGCCAACCTAGAAATCTATAACCTGGAAAAATAACCTTTAAGAAGGAAGGTGAAATTAAAGACATTTTCAGAGAAACAAAAATGGAGAAAATTTGACACCAGCATACCTGCATGAGAGGTAGAAGGAACACAATCTCAGTTGAGGCTTAAAGATGTAGGAAGCAATAAGAAGCAGCAGAGAAGATAAATATATGGATAAATATAAATAAATATTCACTGTCAAAAACAAAATACTGTCTTTGAGGTCTACAATAGTATTACAAGAAATAAAGAGGGACATTACACATGATAAATTGAACACTTCATCAGAAAGTCAAACCAATCTTAAATATGTATGTACCTAATAACAAAGCATCAGAATTCATGAAGCAAATATTTACAGAACTAAAAGAAGAATAAACATCTGTGGTCTCTCAGTAATCGATAAAGCAAGCAGAGAAAATCAATAAGGACGGAAAAGATCTAAACACATTATCATCCAACTTGACCTAACTGACACTTCTAAAGCACTACACCCAACAACTGCAGAATATACCATTTTTCAAGTTCATATGAAACATTTACCAAGGTATAGTATATGCTGGGTCATAAAATGAATCTCAATAAATTTCAAAACACTTAAATCTTAAGAGAAAACAACACAATGAGGTATTACTACACATTCAGCAAAATTACTAAAATTAAAACCTTCTAGGAAATAGAAATGATCTAGATCCTGCCTGAGGTATTATATGTGAGAAGTATACATTTACTAAAACTCATCAAGCTGAAACATTAAGACCTGTGCATTTTACTATATGTAATTATACCTCTATTTTTTAAAATTGACTTACAATGCCAAGTTTTGAGAGGAGGCACAGCAAACTGGAACTCTCACTCATGGCTGGTAAGGGCATAAATGGTACAACAATGCTAGAAAACTGTGAGTACCAGCCAAAGCTGAACACATGCAGCCAATGACTCAGCAAATTTACTCCTAGATATTTACCCAAAAGAAATATGTTCCATTTAAATCTTTATTTATTTAAGTAATCTCGATCCCCAACATGGGGCTTGAACTCATGACCCTGATATCAAGAGTTGCAGGCTCCTGTAAGCCAGCCAGGAGCCCCAGAAATATGTTTCTTTTAAAAGGCACCAAGGAGGGGCTCCTGGGTGGCTCAGTCAGTCAAGTGCCCGACTCTTGATTTTGGCTCAGGTCATGATCTTGGGGTTGTGAGATCAAGCCCCACGTCAGGCTCTGCACTCAGCAGGGAGTCTGCTTGAGATTCTCTCTTTACCTCTCCCTCTGCCTCTCTCCCCACTCATGTACTCTCTCTCTCTCTCAAATAAATAAATAAATCTTTAAAAGGCACCAAGGATTTGTAAAAAAGAGTTCTTAGTATCACTACCAGATTAGCAGAATCCTTCCTTAGTCTAATAAGGTGTCTTTAAAAACAAAAAAACTACAGCAAACATTATTTTTAATCATGAAACGATGAAAGCCTTCCGCTGAGACAAGAATGCTACCTATCATCACTTCCAATCAACACTGTACTGGCGACCCTAGCCAGTGCAATAGAGCAAGAAAAATTAATTAAAAGTGCAAGAACTGAAATGGAAGAAATAAAACATTAATTACACATGATGTGACTACTTTTGTAGAAAATTCTTAAGTTTCAATTAAAATCACTCAAATTAATACATAAATTTAGTAAAGTCTCTGGATACAAGGTCAATTTATAAAAATGTATTACCTTTACATCAATAAATAATGAGAATTTTAAACTATACTGTTTACAGTACCATCAAAAAGTACCTAGAAAAAGTACAGGGGCAGGGAAACTATTTGACAAAATTCAAGATCCCTTTATGACTAGGAGTCCAAGCAAACTAGAAATAGAAGGAAACTTCCTCAATCTGATAAAGGGCACCAATGAAAAAGCTACAGCTAGCATCATACCTAATCCTATATGTTTTCTCCCTAAAATTGAGACCCAGACAGGGAGATCTGCTCTCACCACTTCTATTCAACATTGCAATGGAAGTCCCAGCCGGTGCAATGAGGCAAGAAAAAGGAATAAAGGAATACAGAAGGTAAAAGAGGTACAGAGTAGAAGAAAAAATAATGGAGTAAGAACAAACCAAAACAATATGGTAAGTGAAAAAAAAAAGAAATACAGAATAGGAGAGACCAAAAAAAGCACAAAATAAGATAGCATATATAATCTGAGAACACCAATAATTACATTAAATTTAAATGGAATGCTGTATTTAAAAAAAAATTACTGGAATGGATTTTTTTTTTTTTAAAGATTTTATCCATTTATTTGACAGAGAGAAACACAGAGAAAGAGGGAACACAAGCAGGGGGAGCAGGAGAGGGGGAAGCAGGCCTCCCGCCGAGCGGGGAGCCCAATGCGGGGCTCGATCCCAGGACTCTGGGATCATGACCCGAGCCAAAGGCAGACGCTCAACGACTGAGCCACCCAGGTGCCCCGGACTTTTTTTTTTTAAGACACATGTAAAAATATAAGGACACCAAAAGGTGTTCACTTCCAGTGAAAGGGTGGAATATGATCCATCAGGAATCCTTAGGTATGGCTGGCAGGTATGCAGCCTGGTGCTGCCATTCCCAAGAACACCTTGGAAGTCCTTAGTAACTACATACATCTCACTGACCTGGCAATTTGCTCCCATGTACACATCCAAGAAATTCTCACATGGTTCCACAAAAAGAGAAAGGAAGTATCAGAAGATGCCCACAGCAATTATCTGTGATAGCAAGCTTAGGACTCACACCACAGAGAATGACACCACAGGGGTGGGCACAGGCCAGGTATACACAATGCAACATGAATGGGTCTTACAAATAAAAACGCTGTGCTGAATGCAAAAAAGTAAGGGAGTTCATTGTATCCACAAAACAATGTAGACTTTTCAAAACACAAAGTAGCTCAGTCAGTAGACCATGCAGCTCTTGATCTTGGGGTCTTGAGTTTGAGCCCTATGTTGGGTGTAGAGTTTAAAAAAAAAGAACTTTAACTTAAAAATCAATCAATCAATCAATCAATCACACAAACAATGAAAAGGACATACAGACTGGTTGCTTATGGGGTGAGAGGGTAATGGAAAGGTCATGTGAGATTAAATATATAAGATGGTATGGGCTGGGCTGGGCTTGCCCAGACCAGTGGTGATCACCTGCCACGAGCTGAGAAGTTGGACCACCTCTACCCTCTCTATCCCTATGACCAAACACAAAAGAAACACGACATGGCAAAGGGAGACCTTGCTTCCAGCCCATGAAACGGTCTAAACCCAGATGGAATGCAAATCCACTGGCCACACCAAGAGGACACAGGCATGGTGCAGAGTGCGATGCGCGCCCCAGGACCCACAAGATGATACCTATGCAAATCACATACAATCCCCTGCCAGGTGCATGCATATGCTACAGGGTACACTCACACCAAGGTGTGCATCTTGCTGGTCCAGGTACATACCCAGGGGTGAGCCACAGGGCCAGCTGAGTCCACCAGCCCTAAGAAAACTGCTCAGCCCAAGACTGAGTGACCCGGGTAAGCTGGAGCCCTCGAGGGTTGGGGAGAGAGGGGCAAGGGACTAACTGAGCAAGCCCAGAACAGGAGCTCCCCACCCTTACCCCCATCCCTGGTCCAGTGCTCTAGCATCTTGAGGGAGCTGTGAGGCCAGAGGGGCAGGGCTATTTCTCTTTCAGGCACACTCCTGCTGGGGGCGGGCTCAGGCCTCCCACCCTGCCACCACTGTGCACCCACCTGGCCTCAGGCCCGGCACAGCTTCCCTCGCTGCCCACAAATTTCTTCAGCTCATCAGAGCAGCAGTATTGGTTGTAACAGTTGCCACAGCAGAAATCAGGACAGGACTCAGGGAAGAATTTGCGTCCACGGGAAGCCACACATACCTCGCTGTGGGCTGGAGCGGAAAAGCACACTTGTTAATCGGTGGCCATAGGGCCAGGCCTCACGCCAGATCTCACCCATGTCCCAGCCCACGTAGCCCTTCCCTTAGCACTGCCTTGCCCTCCCCCCTGTCCCACAGCAGAGGCACCTAACCGGGTTCCCTCTCTCCTCCACCAGTCACTTGTCTTCTGATGAAGACTGATCTTCCTAAGTGGGAGTTTGGAGGGGCCACTTCCCGCTCGCAGACCATCCCTGGTCTCCACTGCCTCAGGATCAAGTCCAGGGTCCACAAAGCAGGCTCTGGACTGCAAAGGGCTTTGATGGTCACCCCCACTTTCCAGCTCTATCCACACTCGGCCCATATTCTTGCCTGTTTCCCATTCCCGTCTTCAAATCTACTCATCTTTCAGGGCCTTACTCCAGGCCCCCTCCTCTAGAAGCTGCCCAAGCCCAGCAGTCAGAGCTGAACAGTAACGCCCCCAACCAGCTGCTGGGGCCCAGGCACTGGACCCACCCGTTCTCAATCCTTACTGCCTCTCCTCACCACTCAGTGCCTCTGCTAGACCCTGGACTGCAGGGCCCTGGTGCTCACAGACCACGCCCTCACGGCAGGCCCACCGTTGGCCACGCTCATACCCACCATAAATGTCCATGAAGCGCTTAGCCCTGGGCGGGGCCTGCAGCAGGTGCCTAGGAAACGTTTACACAATTGGTGGCCAGGGCTCCGAGGCAGTGGCACCACTTTAAGCCCCAGAACCATTACAAGGCTCTCAGCCAGAGTAGGGATCCAAGGACTTTCCCACAAGCTGGGGTAAGGACAGAGCTCCAGTATTCCAGGTCATACTGAGAGGACCTGGCTGACAAGTGTGGGAAATGACCCAGGGCTTTGGGAGACCACAAGGCCTGCAAACTTCCAGGAAGATGCTACAGCCAAATGTTCCCATGCATCCTTAAGCAACATTAGCAGAGACCTAGTGCCCACCAGCAGGAGGGGAGCAGTCCCAGCTTGTGCCTGGACAGACCCCGAATAGAACACCCAGTCCAGCAAGGCCCAGATGGTTATGGTAGCCTGGAGACAGGTCTGATGATAAACCCTGAAGTATGGCTATGTCTCCAGGAAACAGTCCTGGCCCAGCACCTGGACCCTGGGGACCCAGACTGGCCAGAGCCCCAAGGCAGCATGCCGTGTCTGGAGGCTCAGCCTGGTCAGTGTATCACATACAGAGCGAGTCCCAAAGACAGAGGCATTGAGTGACCTCCTTGAGAAGAGATAACTAGGAAGGGGATGGGGGACGGGGGGGGGTGCTCCATTCTTGACAGGTTCAGGCAGAATCCTGCTATGGGCAAAGCTGCAGGCGCAGAGGACCTGACCACTCCCAGGCTCCCCCCAGCCAGCTGTCCACCTGACAGCAGGTATGGTCAGCATGGCCCATGCTACCGGGTAACTCAGGTGACCCACCTCCAGCAGGGTCCTTTCAGCCTCTATGGGCACAGCCCAGCCTCTAAGCTGGGGCTGAAGACATACACCCCTTGCACCGTTTGGGCCAAGAGCCCATGACAGAAATGTTCTTCTGGGCCCCAGACACACTGGACGAGGCTTGCCAGATCTCACTGGACCGGGGACCGGGGCTCCGCCTTCTCACTTTCCCACCCCAGGTCCCCAGATTCATCTCAGCCCCCCAGGAAATAAAGCCCTTTTCCTCGAGAAAGCCACTCACCCCAGAGGGATCACTCAGCTTCCTCTGGTTGGGCAAGGGGCTGTTCCAATTCCTACCCCGAAATGGCCCCCAGCCTGGCCTCCTCCGTCGGTGAATCATCAGTCTACCATCAACACACACAGTGGTGTTTCCTCCAACCCGGGAGGCCAGCCTCAGGCGTCCCCAGGAACACAGGGGCCATGGGAGCAGGGGGTGGGGGAGTCCAGCCAGTAAATAGAGCCGAAGGGAAGGCCTCTGATAGAGGGGCCAAGCCTCCCTCCTGCCGCCACCCTAGGCTAAGGCCAGGCAGGGACTCCTACCCCAGCCCCTGGGGACCCAATCCTGTGGAACATCTAAGGGAGCACAGACCCCCACCACTACCACCATTACCCGGGGCACAACAATGGTGGCAACTTCCTAGAGTCTGTTCAGACACAGGGGTGCTGACTGAGGTCAGGTCAGTCCTGGGGGTTGGCTGGCTGCCTTGGGGTTACTGGGGGCAGGGGACACTGGGGATGGTGTTGCCTGGGCTCACTCCAGGGATGCACGAACGTGGCTGCCCCCCTCCCAGACACACTGTCCCTGCCCGGGACGAACTGCCCCCACCCCGCGAGGCTCACCACCTGGAGGCGGGGGGAGCAGCAGCACCAGCAGCAGGATCCGTGGCGCGGGGACCCACACAGCCATGGCTGGGCGGCGGACGGACACAGGACAGACGGACAGAAGCAAAAGGGGTTGAGGTGCCGCGGCAGCCGCAGCGACCCCTGCGGCCACCGCTTCCTCGCCCCGCCCTTGGCGGCCTGTTCCGGGAACCCCGCCCGGAGGAGGGAGCGGAGGGGAGGAGAGCGAGGCCAGGGAGGGGGAGCGGACGCCCCTCCCAGCCTCCGGGCCAGGCCCACGTCCAGGGGCCACGCGGACACTCCAGCCCGTTCCGGGCGACGGCGGTACCTGGCGAGCCCCGACGTCGCCTTCTGGGCTCGGGATACTTTCCACCTCCCTCCCCTGTTCCCAGCCCTTGGCCCGGAGGGGGTCTTGGCGGGGGGGGCGGGGGGGGCGGGGTGGATCTGCATCCTAACACTTGGGAGGCAGGACACAGGCATTCTTCGCGCAGGGCGGGCCCTCCTGTTCAGCGGATTCTCTCCGGACCCACCTGGGAGCTGGAGACCAGGTGAGGTGGTGGGAACAGTGCCCAGAGCAGACCTGGGCACACAGCAGGCACTCAATAAATGCCGGTCCCTCCTGCAAGCCTAATCCAGGGGCTCTGTGGAGGCTCCATCCCCTAGTCCCCTGGGTTGACAGCTCTATCCCCACAGTCATCCTACCCCCCAGCCCAGGCAGGCTCATCCCCGCCTCTGAGGGCAAGCCTGGTTCAGATGGGCTGCTCTGAGGATGGGAACTGGCAGCTCCCAGGCACACTAGGCCACCTCCTGGTTCGGGGGAGTCTGGCTGGCCCGAATTCGTGTCTGTTCCAGGACCATGTGCTCACACAAGACTCCTTGAGATGGGGCAGTGGCTAACTGTGGCCCTGCCATTCACTGTGGGGCAGGGGTCTGGGCAGAGCCAGGAAAATGGAGAAGGAGCACTGTCTGGAGTCTGTCCCAGCTGCTATAACAAAACATCATGGACTCCGGGGCTTATAAACCACAGTTCTGCCAACTGGGAAGTCCAAGATCAAGTTGCAAGCAGGTTCTGTGTCTGATGAGAGTTTCCGGGTTCCTAGATGATTGTCTTTTCCCTGTGTTTTCACTTGGCAGAAGGACCGAGAGACCTCTCTGGGGCCTCCTCTATAAGGACACTCACCCCCATTCATGAGGGCTCCACCCTCAAGATCTAATCACCTCCCAAAGGCCCCACCTCCAAATACCATCACCTTGGGGTTAGAATTTCAACATCTGAATTTTGGGAGGGCACAGGTGTTCAGTCTATGGCCAGCATTTTTTTACCCAGGGTTTCTGACCTGCTGCCCACCCCACACCTGGCACATCCAGTACATTGTACTCAAGGCAGAAAACATGAAATGTCGCACTGACTGGGCACCTGGGCCAGTGAATACACCCCGTGTGCCGCCGCATGTTTCTCACCTGAGGACAGGGGCATCGCTAGGACAGAGAGACCCCAGAGGACAACCTGGGAGGTCCTCAGTGCACTTCCCCAGGCTGGGGTGTGAGAAGAGGGAGGAGACAGCTGAGCCAGGAGCCACCACCTGGTCGGGAAGGGCTCGGGACTCAGCACACCAGACAGAGGCATGGCTGTCCCCGGGCAGAAGGAGGAGCCGGCTCAGCCTCATCCTGCCCCGCTGCCTCTGCCCGCCCGCACCCCCTCACCAGCAATACGGTGTGAAGTTGGACGCAGCCCAGGTCCCCCTTCTGCACGCCCAACAGCCACCATATGCTCCCCTCCACCTGCACCTGTCCAGCCAGCCCCTGACCCCTCATTCCACACCCTGGGTGCCCAGCCTTCTGTGTCCCACAAGCTCGGTGTCTCTTCATAACACAGACCCTGCCCCCAGCGAAGCTTCTCAGAGCTGCCCTTTCTTACGTCCTGTCACCTGTCTTTGGCCTCTCTGCTCTGACACCCCCACCCCATTTCCTCTCGGGCCCTCCCCCCTGGCCTCATCCTCCCTGACCTTTTCAGGATTGGGGTCCCCATGCCCTCTCATCTTCCTACACCTCACAAAAGTGGGAAACCTTCCTGGGGGAGTCCCGTGTGGGCTCCATGGCCCACCCAGAGCTGTGCACGGACAGGAGGGGCTGGCGGCCAGGAACAGCCCGAGGCTGGGAAAATCACGGCCGTGCATCCGAGCGGCGTGTGTCCATGCGGGGGAGGAGGGCACCAAGTCTGTGTAGCTGGGAAATGGTCACTTCCACAAGCCGCCTGGGGAAATCAGCCCCGCCGAGGCAGAAACCAAACTCCCTGTGCCAAACGTGGGGGTCTCAACAAGATGGAGGGTCCTCCGGTCCGACTCTTGATCTCAGGGTCGTGAGTTCAAGTCCCACATTGGGTGTAGAGTTTACATTAAAAAAAAAAGCGTACTCAACAAGAGTGAGGGTCCTACAGGCAGGACACATGAGGTAAGGACCCAGACAGCTGGACTAGCTCAGCAAACACAGTGCCAGGCCACGTGTATGGGACGGAGGGGCCCGGCAGCGGGGGCTGCTGCGCTCAGAGGCACCCCTCTGACAGCCTGTCTCCTCAGGCCTCCCCCACCCGCTCTTCATTCCAGCCGGTGCCCTTCCCTGCTTAGAAGCAGACCCTACCTTAAATTCTGCCCCTTTCCCGTCTGGTCTACATGAAATGGCTCACACCTCATTTCAGGGCACACTCCGCCCCCATCTGCTGTTCCCCTGTCCCAGGCCGCTGGCACCACAGGGTCCTCCCCTATGCCCTCACCCTCTCCCTCTGCATTTCCACCTTGCACTCTCTGCTGGTGTCCCGGACCACCTGATCCTCACCTTCCTCACCTTCCACCCACAACTCTACTCTTGCCCCCGCCCTGCCCTGAGCTCTCTGCCAGCTGACTTGGCCTCTGAGATTCTCTGTCCATTCACCACAGTCCAGGCCCTGAGGACTCCCAGAACACCACCTCCCAAGAGCTCCTGGGCCACCACAGACAACTCACACCTGTCTCCCCAGTTCCACCTGGTCACCCGGGCTGGTGCTCAACGCCCCCCCGCCCCACCTCCAGAACATTCTTTTACTTACCACTGACCCAGCTCTGGGCCTCACCACCTCTCTCCATGCTTCCAGTCTTGAACTTCCTAGAGAACAAATCAGTAGCCAACCACCCCCTCCCTATCACCACCACTCTAAATCCTGCAAGGACTCCCCGTGGCTCTTAAGGTAAAGTTCCAATTTCAGTCCCAGCAAAAAAATGGGGCTCCTCGTGCTTCCTGGCCACCATACACATCCCCCTCACCCTCTCTGGCTCACCCTTTAGGTCCCAGTTTAAAACACCACCTCCTCCAGGAAGCCTCCCAAGATGTCAAGTCTGAGTTAGGGTGCCCCTCTATGTTCCCGCAGCCCTTGTGACTCCCCCAGCCCAACACCAAACCCTGGGTCATGTGGGTGTCTTCTGCTACTCTGGGGGGTCAATGAGACTGGGGTAGCGTCTGTCTTCTGTATCCAGCGCAAGGGCCAGGCACATAGTAGGTGCCGGATAACTGAGGAAAAAGGAAAGACAGGATCCCCTTCAGCCCACTGGCCACCTTCCCCTGAGTTCCAGGCCTGAATCACTCCCCTCGGGGACGGGCTGCCTCAGTGCCCCCAGTCCTCTGTGCTCCCCATAGTAGGGGCCTGTGGCAGCAGCTTGTCTTGACTTTCCCTTCCGGGTCCACCCTCCACCTTACCTTCTCCTGGGGGTCCCTCTTCCTGGGCTTCTTGTTGGGCTTGGCAAATAGGAGGCGGGAGGTCAGAGTCTGCATGGGTGGGGCTGCCCCTCCCCTACTCTACTTCCCCAAAATCCTGCCTGCCTTCAACACACCCCACCCCATAGCCACGCCTCTCTCCTACGTACATCCCTCTCAGGGCCATATGCTGAGATATCGACACTTTATCTAGAGGCCACAGGAGTGAATGACTTGAGAGATCCCTCTGGTGGACAGATTACGGGAACTGACACGGGACGTGTGGGGGCCAGTCTGGGGCTAAGGCGTGGTCCCATACCGTGTTCGGGTAACCCTTCCCTACCTTGACCCCACAGGCCTAGGGATGGAAAGGGCTCCTTGTTTTTGTTTTTTTTTAAGATTTTATTTATTTGAGATAGAGTGAGAGAGAGAAAGAGCGCGTGTGCGCACACATACACACATGAGCGGAGGGTGCGAGGGACAGAGGGAGAGGGAGAAGCAGGCTCTCCACCGAGCCGGGAGCCCGACTCGGGGCTCAGTCCCGCCCCCCACCCCCAAGGAAGACATTAAACCCACTGAGCCACCCAGATGCCCGGGGAAAGGGCTTCTCCTGATGTTACCCCCCAGTGCTGCCCCAACCTAGGTGGCCCCTGAACCTATCTACAGCCCTGTAAACAGCCCTTGTATTGAGCTCTTCTCAAACACCCAGCTTGACAAGAATGGGACCTTCACTTACGGTGGGTGGCCAAGCTGTGATGGGAATACCACGTGGGGCCAGCAGCCCAGAGCAACACCCACTGATGCCCCGACGGCCCACTCCTGATGCGGATGCGGCCCATCAGCCTGGGACTGAGCCTCGGGGCCAGGAGCGGTGAGTGCTGTTAAAAAGAAAACCACAGGCCCAAAGAGGTGTCCCTCAGACCAAGTTCCCAAACCAGGGCTTGATCCCCAGTCTAATTGTGGTTTCAGCCTCCCCCAGAAATGTGGTTGTAACCGGTCATAACTTTCTTGTGTCTACCCTCCTTCTATAGAAACCCTCCAACTGGTCCCACTCCTCGGAGCCCCCCTCTACTTGCGGAATGCCGCCCAATACATGAAGTGGTTAATAAAACCAATGAGATCTTTACATTTTGCTCGGCTGAATTTGTGTTAGTGACCAATGCTAAAGTAGCGGTCCCCGGCCATTCCTTTTCACCCAGCCCCTGGGCCCCTTTCTTCCACTTCAGAAGGCAGAAATGCCAGATATTCACTCGCCCTGTGTCCTTTGCCCTGGGGCAAGGGCCTTTGTCCAGGCCCAACCAATCAAATGTACCCTCCCTGGAGGTCACTCTGGGGCTGGTGACC